TATTGTAACAGAAAATTCCTGTGCTGTACTTCCTATTACGATTTAGGTTTCACACAGAGTCATTCCTAAATCCAGACAAATAGTTCACCTGAATGCATGATATACTAAATACAATTGACTGTACTGTTCAACAGATAATGCTTGCCAACTCTAATGTGCTTTACCTCATCAAAGATACAAGTGTATGTTTAAATTTGCAGTACTGTGTATTCTAAAGATCAAATTGACTCTCAGTTGGTGTGGGTACAAGAGGGTGGGATAAGACAGAACCAGGACACAAGAACATGTGCTGAGGTGGTGAGAAGAAAAGAGGTCAGAAAACCCCTGGCCAGCATCCAGTAAGTGCAGCCGTAACAGCGCACACGTGGCTGGACGGCTTTTGAGCAGAGGCTCGCTCGTACAGAGCCGCCCTGAGTGTCTGCACACACACCCCAATTAACCCACCACCCACAAGCCAGAGTTAACTGTGCGGATTGCATTTTGAATACCAGGAGGAGGGCGAGTTCTCTTGCCACTTGCTTCATGAAGTAACAAAGATTTGAATGCTGCTTTATCGTAAGTGATGCCATACTCTGAACTTCCCCTAATTCTTTCCATATTTTAACTTGCCTTCATTTTATTAGTGTGAAATTCTTCACTATTTGAGATAGTAAAACCCCAGTGACAAACACAGTCTGTAGTTGAAAGCCCACAGTCTGATCTCTTCAGACCCAGTACAGCAAGCCCTTATTTTCCAGTAAAATTTACAATTGAACCAAAACGGCAGTTTTATTAACTTTAAGATTCCACCTTCAGATCGTCATGTTACCACTGTTTTTAGTGCAAATTGTAATTAACAGCAGAAACATATTGATCCTTACTATGTAGTTGATACCTGTGTGAAGGCCTTTTGTGAGATCTCTCCCAGTTGCAGCGTAACTTGTACAGAAAAGACATATGAAGCTTAATGCTAAACAAGACTTCTGATGTGAGCATCACTGATTATTTTTTTTTCCTTGAACAGTAACAGTAGCTGATTATATATCACGAGCTGAATCTCAAAGTAGACAGAGAAACCCTCCAAAGGAGACACTAGCCAAAACCAAGAAAGAAACGGTAAGAAGATTTTTTTTTAATGTACGTTTCCTTTTTTTTGCTCTTCCTCTGCAGCAAAACAGTAAAGGAATGCCTCATCTGGATCGCCCTCATTTGACTGCAAATGCATTTGAGATCAAGAATAAATAATTAAAAGCAAAAATGGTCCAGAGTAAACAGAACTGACATTAACTAATAGACTGTCATTACAGACTTTGGTAACCAGTGTAATGCTCAAATTAAGTCTTCGCACATTTGAAAATATTACACTTACTAAGGTAGCATTACATAATAAAATGTGCAGTTATGCATGGATGAGTCTTGAGAACTAATCTTCAAAATACTTTTTAGAGGATACTAGGTAGCACGTTTAGTGACTTACACAAACTATTTTAGAAAGAATTTACGTTACAGAGATAGGTGTGAGATCTGTTCTTGTGAAAGGATCAGAGTAGCATTACATATCAAAAAATAACATTCAGAACTGAATAAAGCACAATTTCTTTACTTCCTAAGTAACATGGACCTTACTGCCACAAGCTATGTCCAAGTTTAGCAAAATAAGAAAGATCCACTGCTATATGGTAAACAAAATCTAATTTGAAAGGGATGTAAAACAACTTTTCAGTTAACTTCTTCCTTGGCTTAGAAAAATGCAAATTGTGAAATAAAACACTCTGGGCGTGCTGGGGGTGTGCTGTCTGAGGGCTGCCCTGGCACGATTCCCATGGGAGTGGCTGATACATAAATCTACAAATGACAACATTAAGTAATAGGATGCTGTAACTGGTGGGTACTGGCACAGACGAGAGCCACTTCCTATTGCAAAGCTGCTGCATGCGCTGGAGGGAATTGGATTACACGCTCTATCCTTTTACAGAATTTTTGTATTATTCTGTTTTTGTAAGGCAAAAGATGCGATTGATGAAAACAGCCCTTCTGAAAAAGCAGTGAATGGTCCTGCTACAGCTTCTGGGGATGAGCCTTCTAAACTACAGCACAGTCCTGATGAAAAGAAAGTTACTGTTCAAGAGGATGGAAATAATCAGGAAGAAGCAGTGCTGAATGGTGTTTCATAAACTGAAGTTCCTAGTTTACAGTTCTTTTACATTACATTTAAAATAGTGCTTGTATAAGCTTGCCAAAGATAGAATATGGATCGCCAGTCTTGACACCGCACTTTCAGTTCCTCCATTTTGGAATACAGAAAGGGGAGGGATCCTGAAGAAATCATATGTTAAACATACTTTGACACCTACTGTGTTATAAATATATCATCAGATGTGCCTTGAGATAGTATATGTAACATTTAAATAAACAAAATTGCTGGCTATAGGAAATGTTATTTTGTTTTCAAAATATGGCAAAGATGTGAGGGGGATCCCTAACATAATACTCTTTATGAAAGCATTAGCTGCTTTTGTTACATTTTTAATAATATGCAACCACTTCTTCACCTGAGGAATACTAGAAAGAAATGCAGTCTAAAATATTTTGCACTGAAATGTAATTTCTCCATTAGTTTAGTCTGGAAACTGGTCTGTTTTAATACATGTTTTTTAAATGCTGTATGTAGAGGAAAAATCTGCAGACCACTGGAATACATTTGTTAAATTCTCATAATCTGCAGGGATACTGGGTGACATTGGCAGTGACTGTTCTACATTGAGGCTTTGTTTGGTTTATTTATTAAACTGTACAGTATTTAAAAATCAAACATAGCTTTAGTTAACACTAAGTTGAATTAGTCATGTCCATTAAGACATAACCTGAACTACTGAAAAGATCAATTTCCAGAAAGTTTATTCTGTATAAACTACATATGTTAGTCCTTAGTAGAGTATTTTTATTTTTGTTTTGGTTGTTTGATGTGCAATATGTTTTTTTTGTATGCTGGTAGTAAAAGAAAATAAACTTTGATCTTCCATCTGTTGACTGTTTCTATCAGAAAGTTAAATTACTATTGACTTCAAGGTTTTCAAGCTGTTAACACTAACAATTGAAACTTACCTGCAAGGCAGCTTGAACCTGTAACTCTTTTAGAAGAGTTTTCTAACACACTAATCTTCCATTCTTTAAGCTGATGATGTAAAACATCAGTTAACAAGTCTAAAGACAGATGACTTCTCTTGGAGAATCACCTAACCTGACTAACATATATAGGAATTAATGCAGATGTAGTTTTTGATTGAGATGTTGGAAGCAGGACACACTAACCCATCTCTTTAGGCACATGAGCAGGAGCGATGGGGCAGAAAACACAGGTGGGGGAAAACATGGGGGTAGCAAGGCAATGTTGGAAGAAGTCAGAGCACAGTGATGGTGCTGAAGTTGTGCTGACCTGAAGAAGAAAAAAATCTCTTACCTGTTTTGTCAGAAGTAAGGACAAAAACAAGTATTCTGAACCACCTGTGACTCCAGCTGCTACACCTGATACAGCTACAGAAGAGCTGTACCAACTAGGTTTGGGTATGTACTGCATTTAAGGAGATGTGCAGTTAATACAACTTAAGTTGTGATATTTATTGACAATGTTCCCTCCTGGAGAACAAACAGTTAAATTGTAACTCTGAAGTGTGCACAAGCATCACAACTGATAAGGCAGCTGCAAGAGTGGAAAAAATTTAAGGGGGGGAAACTATGTTTAAAAAGTATTATTACTTAAGTACAGTAACGTTCTCTGTTGGGCTTGAACTGGGCGTACTCTGAACTGCTGTATAGCAATGGTCCAGCTGGCTTTTTCACCCCACTTCAAATTCTGTAGTAAAGCAAAGTTATCCCTCTCGCTATAGGTTCTAAACATTTCTATTTCATACTCATGTTACTGATTTGCTCCTCTTTTCTGAAGGCATGGAACTCTTCCTTGCTGCTGTTCTGGTAATACTAAATAGCCTACAACTAGTCTACAGAAACGCAGCGACATAGTGGCCAGCATTCAGGCAGACGTAATACCACCGACAGCAGTACTCTCGCGTAGATGCTTGTCAGTTCTGGAAAAATGAAAGCTCTGAAATCCACTGTATTTATAAGGAGATGGGTGTTAACTCTTACATACGCTTTACCGCAGTTGCAGGAAGACTGGCAAGATTCTTGAAGTCTGACAGAACTGGGCCCTAATTCAGATACTCGCAACGACATCTGCTGGGGTACCTTTGGCTTCAGGCAGCATGATAAATCCAGCGCAGGTATCTTCAGTGGCTTACGTAAGGAGTTGCTGTTTCCTAATTACTATGAAGGCAAACCTTATGTGAATTCTAACTTTGGAGTGTTAAGATAATGTATAAAACTATAGTACTTACATTACAAATCTGCTATTTATTAAATGCTATAAAATCCATTAAAAATTTAAAGTTACTGAAACATCCAGGACATGCCAGACCCATCAGGAACACTTAAGCTCAACCAACCTTGTTTTTCACAAGGCAAAGACAACTGAGCACATTGTTTCCTATACTTTATTTCTTTACTCAGAGACAACCACACAACTGTCCCAATTCTTACCGTCAAATAAATCCTCGTGCTTCTTTCCACCCCCTCCCCAAACTGGTTCACCACGCTAGCTTTGGCATAAGAGCAGCAGCATGAATTTTAAACATGGCTAGTTTAACAAAAATTAGGTAACAGTATTAAGTCTACCTGTATGTGGTAACATGCATTGGCCAAACCAAGTTTTTACTCTTTTACAAAAGTACTTCTGAGTGGCAGATTTTGCTGCTTATAATAAAGAACAGCTATGAAAAAAACTGGAAGCCTCACTCCCTCACACGTTTCCCGGAAAGTGACTAACATGAGGAAGGAAGTACCTCCCTAGATTCGTATTTCCAGCTTCATTTATATTAACTCAAAGATTGACATTAGAACTTTTTTTATGCCATTTATCAAAAATAATCATTTGTGTGGACAAACCCTCTGATTTTCTCACTCATTCATTTTTTAGCTTGGTCTTCCAGTAAATCTTTAGCTTCATTGATTTTGGCTGCTACATATGGAGAGCCACCTAGAAGGAAGATAACCTCAAGTCACATCAGATGAAAAAATATATTATTGTTAATAATGCCACAGGAAAAAAAGTGTAAGCATGGTCTGAAAGTTATTCAAGTTAAAGAACAAACTGCGTTATGACTGAAGCCGTGTTAGTTTACACATAGAGTCACCGCAGTAGCTAAATGTGCTGCCAGCTCACTCCTGTTCAGTTGCTTTTAATTTAGTGGAGTGTTTTTTTCCTCCAGTTTTATCAGTCATAAATGAACTGGTCACTAATGACTTAGCATAAAGTTTGTTGTGAATACAGAAGCATTAAACTAACAAGTCTGCAGATAAACCTTCCCCCTCCATTCAAGGCCAGCATATGAACTGCTGCTGTACCAACAGACTAGTGCAGTTTTTAATCCTGACAGACAAGTAACTTACAAAGATACTGAAGCAGAATCCACAATGCAAACGCCCTGAAATTATAACTGACTGTGAAGGGCAAAGATCTGTAGTGTGTATTTGCAGCATGTATACCATTTACTAGTACTAGAATTACTCTATTGAAGCTTAATTGAACTTATTTAGGTCATGTAAAATATACTCCCAACAGTCTTTTAGGTTCCGCATATATTCAGTAAAGTTCATTTTTAAGTTAACTTCTGCTAGATACCATCTATGAAAGGCATATCCTAAGGATTATTTTGGATTTTGGTGCACAAAGTAAAGTAATGAAGTTCAGCACTCAGTTTGAAGGAAGCCATTTCACCTTTTACGTGACGACTTAAAAATTAAATGCCAAACACTAACACATGACTCCGACTTACTGAAGTGAATAGAATTTAGACCAGGTACAGACACTTTAATTTATTAACTTTAGGCATCACTAGATTCTGAGCCTTCAGAGTAACACTAACAAGTATTTCATAGTTCAGTGTCTTCAGCAGATGCAGAAGGCTCAATACCTGCCATTTATTGCGCATTCCCAATGCACTGAAATGAACTCAAATGCACATGGTACATAAAGTGCACAAATATACTCTGGTCTTTCATCTAAAATTAAGGTGATTTTAAGTCTCATTTTAACAAACCATATTTTAATCTGATATGCACAGAAGATGACAGAGCAAGTAGCAAGCTGACCTGCTGCATCTGTTCCAAAACCATAAGGACTGAGGTACCCTAATATTTGTTTTCACTCAAGAGTTTTCTGGGAATTTTTTAGGAACTGAGGTAGTTATACGTCAGTCACTTCTTCCCCATGCAGTTCTATTAATCTGTGTTAAAAACATGTATTAATTAATCAACGTGACTTAATTTACTTACCTTTATCTGGATGATTCAGAAGCATGATGCGTCTATGAGCTTCTCTAATTTTACTTCTGTTGGCTGTAGGGCTTTAAAAGAGAGAGAGAAAAACTGACTTACAGGAACCTCTTAAAATCCCCCAAATCCTTAAAGGATGTCTTAGAACAAGCAAGCACTTTGTCTTATCCATCAACTCTTTGGCTTACATGTGTTTTTCTTTTCCTATTACTGATGTGTAGCATGTAAGTCCTGGAGAGGGCTTCTAAGGTTTTCCCAAAATACTGTAGTCTGAAGAAAACACGCTATAGCAGTCGAATATGGTGGAGGACATTCAGACGGTTGAAAACAAACCTAACTATGTTGTAACATTTTTACTGGGACAGCTTCCTAAAGGCTTGAAGAACACAGTAAAATAAAATTTGCTCTTGATTTATTAAAAACAAAAAAAAAACCCCACAACCAACCAATTGTAGACCAACTTCAGAGTTGGGAGTTGCCTTCAAATAGAATTGGTTCTTACACTGTATCTTACTAGACAAATTTGTGTATTTGTTCTTAAGCCTCTTTAAATTTTGGCAGGGATAGCTACCACACTTATATCTAAGATATTCTAGAATAAGTGATGAATTTACTCCTCGTGCAAGAAGTGGGTTTGCAGCACCTTCACACTGCATCTATCTGAAATTCACCAGCAGCGACAGGAACCACAAGCAAACAGCACAGCCTTGTTCCCCATACTGAGTGAACTCCAAGGCTTCTTGAAAATGGCACATTTACCAGCACCTGTATGTGGCTTTTAAACCTGTGAGGGGTTTGCAGACGTATGGGAGTCCAGCTAGAGTTAGCTTTAAGCAAGCTAATATGTGGCAAAGAATCCCAAATAAGTACAGAAAATCCTGAAAGGCTGATTCATATTGCCTGACTTGGCAACAGCATTCCCAGGGGAATCTGGGCATAGGACAGTCAAGCATTCAGAATTATGTCCTTTTCAAACCAGGCTAGCAACTCGGTTACACTGTAGCCTCCTTTTTACCTTTCATATGTAATAAGTTTCCTTTTACCTCACTCCTAGTATTAAAGCTGCTTCTCGTTTAGTCATTTTGGGTTCAAATCCACCTCTGTAATAACCACTGAAGGCCTGAAAGAGAAAACGTGTTAGTTAAAAAACAACTAATCTGTAAATTTATCAGTTAAAACAACTCACTATTACTTTAGTAGCTGCCGAGCTTTCAGTCTGTAAGAATACAGCAAAAGCTTCTTTTGTACTTGTAGTAAGAAATTCAGCTGAAGTAGAATATAATTATTTAAATGAGTACTTAAACTTCCCAAAACAAGTTCTCTGTTAGTCAGCCAGCATCAGAGACAGTTATTACTGGCAAAATTATGTTTAGTATTAGAAGAAAATAAAGTAACGCTATACAGAGACAATAGTCCATAGTTATTTCACCAAGTAAACTTTTAAATAAAAAGATGCTACTGATAAAAAAAACCCAAACTTACAGATTTTGGTAGATTCTGAAGTGCTTGTTTTACTTGTGGCTCCATTTGCTTCATAGCTTTTACTGCGTAGCGACCTTAAATAAATCAGCGTTCAACAAGGCTAAGTATAAAGTTTCATAAAGATTTAGCAATTCAGTGCAACTAGTAACTTGTGGATTAGAACATGCAATAAACTTTTTGAGAACACAAAGAAGAACGAACTTTGATCTTTTCTTTAATTACAGGTTTCTCAATACAGGCCTTCCCAAGATAGTCCTCTATGAGCTATTAAACTACCGTAAAATTCCTCAGTACTGAGGCAGGCAATAGTCAGTCCAACTGGGTGTTCAGTGTCCTCCCATCATCTACAAACCTGCAAATCCAGCTGCCGCTATGGTCAGGCCAACCGCCACCATTGTACTGGCCTACACAGGGAAGACATAAAATATTCATTTATTAAAGGGAAAGAAAAAAAGCCTACCCGGCAAAATCTACAGCGGCTCGGACCAGCGCGTACGTTGAAAGCAACACGACTGGGGGAAAAGCGGCCATAACGCCAGTTACTTGGGCCTCGCTGCTCCGAGCGCGGCGGGGCCGGGGTCAGGCGCGCCCGGCAGCGGGACCCCCTCCAGCTCTGGGGACCGAGAGAAAGCCAGCCCGGCAGCGTCCGCCC